ACTTCAAGTAGCTCCACCGAAAACGTCACGTATACAGTGCCATACTGGTGGAACGATGAGATCCAGAGCAAGAGAGCCGAATGTTTTAGACTCAGACGTACGGCACAAAGGTATAGGACTCCACAACACACTGAAAATTACAAGCGAGCTAAAAAAGAATTGGGCAGAGAAATTAAACGGGCGAAGCACTCCTGCTGGCATAACCTATGCGCAGCATTAGAAGATGATGTATGGGGCGAAGCTTATAGAATTGCCACAAAAACATTAAGAACAGAGACCCCATACAGCCTTTGTGCAAAACAACGGAAGGAAATAGCTAATACTCTATTTCCTGCTAAGCCCCCACAACAGTTCACTCAAAATAACGTCAACGTTCGACCTGTTGTTTTTTCGGCTGAAGAAATAGCAATAGCGACAAAAAGTATTAAATTAGGAAGAGCAGCTGGTCCTGACGGTGTGCCTCCTGAGGCGATAAAGATCATCATAGAGAACAATCCTGAGATGGTTCGGAGGATCTTCAATGAACTCCTCCAGAAGCAAATATTTCCCATAATGATTAAACAGGCAAGACTGACGTTAATACTTAAACCGGGCAGGGACCCCGAGACTGCCAACTCATACAGGCCGATCTGCCTTCTAGACAGCCTGGGGAAATTTTATGAAAATCTTATTAAAAATCGCCTAGAAGATGAATTACAGATAAATGGAAGTATATCTGACAAACAGTACGGATTCAGAAAATCTAGATCATCCATCGATGCGGTAAAAGAAATAACTGACACTGTAAAAAGGACGAGAAAGAAATGGGCTGCCCTCTTGATGTTTGACGTGAGAAACGCATTCAACTCAGCCAATTGGGGTCACATTATCACCTCACTGGAAAAAGCAAACGTGTCAGATTATTTGATCAATATAATTAAGGACTACCTCAATGAAAGGTATGCCCAAGTGGCAAAACCTAAAGACCTGAAAATATCAGCAGGCGTACCGCAAGGATCCGTACTAGGACCAATGCTTTGGAACACTTTATATAATGAAATCCTAGAAATTGACTATGGAGCAGAGACCAAAGCTATTGCATACGCAGACGATTTAGCTCTACTTATTCAGTGTAACAATAACTTGGAGTTAGAAATGTTAGTCAACAGAAGCTGTCGAAAAGTCAATAGATGGATGGTGAAACAAGATCTAGAGTTGGCAACAGAAAAAAACAGAAATTCTGATCCTGAAAGGCCCTAGAGCCCGCCCAAACCTGGCTTTTGTAGTAGGTAGTACAAGTATAGAGCCTACGTACTGTGCTAAATATCTGGGCATCCAACTAGACACAGGTCTAAGATTCACAAAGCACCTGATGAAAGTAGTCCATAGAGCAGAAGAAAGAACCGCGGCATTAATAAAAATTATGCCAAATATCGGTGGTCCAAGTGCCCTCAAAAGAAGAATGTACCTTCAGATTGTGCACTCTACACTCTTATACGGCGCCCCCATATGGTACGAAGCCTTGAGAATGGCTAAGTATAAGGAACTGCTTGCAAAGGCACAAAGGAAGCCTCTACTAAAGGTAGCAAGCGCATACCGGACTACTTCTACGATTGCCCTACAGGTCATAACAGGAACGCTCCCCATTCACCTCCTAGCTAAAGAAAGAGATACTTTATATAACAGAGAAAACGGTCATTTACCGGAAATAAAATCCGAAGTAAGATCATATATGCTCCAAATATGGCAAAATGAATGGGAGGCACAAACGGAGAAGGCACAATGGACCAAAATGTTAATCCCTGATGTGGTAACTTGGTCTAAATGTAGGTTCAGAAGGTTAAATTACTTTTTTACACAATTTCTCACCGGCCATGGCTCCTTTAGGTCGTATACGTATAGAATAAAGAAGACAACAAATGATCTGTGTATAAATTGTGACGTCATAGACGACGCAGAACACTGCATTTTTGCTTGCACTACTTTCCAAAGAGAACGGAATAACCTAATATCAAGGCTAGGAGCGATAACGCCCAATAACCTAATACAGAAAGCGACGCAGAACAAAGAATCCTACGATATTACTGTCGACATAATTACGCAAATTATAAAGAAAAAGGAGACGCTAGAAAGAGAGAGACAGGAGCAAGGTGGATGAGGTAACAAATTATACAATACGCTGTCATAAGTGCTTTGCAACTCGGCTGCACGACGGAATAGACGGCACTTTTACAGCCAGATTTGTAATTATATTACGTACGTAGTTTTCACGACCTCATGCCTCTTTTATTTCACATTCCTTCCTTGTCAGGCTAAACGCACCTGCACCTTTTAGGACCCAATATTTTGTTTCCCCACAATACCGTCGCTGCATACCATTTTAAGCACTTCTTATCGTTTTTAGGTAAGAACCCTTTTACAATTTTTTCCCAAATTTTCAGACTGCACAAGGCATCTCAATGTTTCGTTCACCGATTGAACTCGTCCGGGGGTGCCTTGTCCGAAGAAGGGGTGGTTTTAGTTGGTAGGCGACTGGTCAGGGGTGCATGTGGTGCATATAATCCATACTCTGGATGATATGTCCTAGCATGTGCTCCTTCCCGGATCGAATCCAACAGTACTAGGGACATCTTTCCCTAGTCGGTTTAGAACCTTTCCACCTCAGTCCAAAAAAAAAAAAAAAAGTTCCCCTGGGAGCTGCAATGACTACACTATCGTCCATCGGGATCCTTGGCCCGCTGGTGGATTAGTGGGTGCTCCTTCCAGCGGCCGTGGTGGCTCGGAGGGAGGAGATGCAGGCCATTACCCATGAGATCTAAAAATAGTTATTAAGCGATTAACAATGAAAAAGCCTGTGATCCGACAGCAAGAGCTCTTCAGACACAACAAACTTCGAAACCAGTATCACTAATGTTTTAGAGCATAAGGTGAGGTCAATAACCTGACTTCTAGATAATAAACGTAGGTGCAGAGGCCCGGTTCAGAATTTCTAAGTTGGTTCCCGAGAGGTAGTGTAGCAGGGCCACAACACAGGGATTAATTTCCATACTACCCAATGCTATATATTATGTGATGGGGGTTGGCATTGCATCCCACCAGAAGCCTTGGTCGACCACTTACACGATAGGCTGACGACTTGAGAAGACAAAATAAAAAAAACTAAATGTGATTGGCCCAAGATAGATGGAGTTGAAAACACACGGAGGAGCCTTATATTCAGTAGTGGACTTTTGAGGCTGGATGATGATGATCGCCTCATACACAGTCGCTTTAAAAACTTACCTGAGACTCGTTATATCAAACCAGTGGCATTGTGCCTAGCTGTCCTTGATATTTTGCGTTTTTAACAGCAGGCAACCCTAATTTGCGATCTTTTTTCTCAGACAACCCTATAACCAAATAAGCGTCTATATTCTTTGCTATAACCGTTATATTAAAACAAATTAGCTGTAATTTGATATAAAAAAAACATGCATATACGTAGCAGCGTATTTTAGTTAAAAAATAAATGAACGAAATTTTTGTTCAAAAACTAATTACCAATATTTAATTAATACTATTTGCGTCCACGTTTTGACTGAAACATGTTATCAATGTATTCTCCCTTTCTTAAATGCATGTAAAATGTGACTTAGGACAGGTAATGCTCTTTTAATAAACCTTCGCAAAGTGATGGCAGTTCGAGTTTCCATATAACCGCCATAATTGGAGCGAGCATTATGGTGTAATTCATGATACTATGACTAACAAGATAGGATCTTCCCGGATCACAAAATCCATCGTGTTCACGCATGCCGTAATTGGAGAGTAGAATTTGAATTCTTTTTATTAAAGTTTAATGGGATTTGTATGCATTCTGTGATGAAATTGCTAGACGAAAATAAGTTAAGAGGTTTAATTATTATAATAATCGTACACATAAGGATATTTCCAAACTATTTGTTAAAGATTATTAATTAAAAAACTGACATTTCGAACCTGCAACTCTCCAATGACGTCACGATTTATGCGCAATATCTTATCTTCTTAGTCATAGTATCATGGTGTAATTTATGTGTAGGAATACAGGAGCGATTAATTACAGGGACCCGATCCGTCAACTGCGCATGTGCGCGACGACTGCGTTCGAAATATTTCGAACCTTCAAATGAAAATATTAAGCGGTAATAGCGGTATCTTGCCCTGTCGAATAAAAATTGTTTTAAATAGTTTCGTGTTTACGTAAGTTGTAAATATGTCAGTGAACTGTTTTGAATGTGGTAAAATTTTCTCAAATCAGTTTTTAACTTAAATAAACATATAAAAAATATACATGGTAAACTTTCTAGGCCGATGTAATATCCAGTTTTTTATGGAAGAGTATTGAAGAATTAAGCTATTTTATACCAGAATGTTATTTAAATTTAGTTCATTAATAATTTCTTTACTTTCAATAACAATAAATCAATTTAAGTTTATAATAATACTTATATAATAATTTATTATAATCCCTATTTTCACTCATAAACGTGTATTACGTTAAATATTTAAATTATCTGGTACGTTAACAATCTCTATATGCTACTACAACAAAATAACAATGTTGGACCGTTAATATCAAAGTCGTCAATATACATTAGATTAATGTGATTTTCTTTCTTATTACTGAGAGTTCAAGTTATTTATTCTCTATATTTTAGTTATGAATGTAACAACTATGTACCTGTAGTAATAAATATTTAAAAATTTCCGATTTGTATGCCTAAATAGTTTTTATAAATTTGCTCAGATTTTTTTAGTTTGGAGATGTCACTTTTGATGCCATTTCAAAAATTGCACATGCGCAGTTGACGGATCGGGTCCCTGTAATTAATCGCTCCTAGGAATACGCGTCACCTTTCTTTCCTTATCTAAGTGAACGACCCAGTGAACGGCCTCGTTCACTAGATACAAACTGATACAAACATGTTCACAACTGTTTGCGCTTTGAAATTAGCTTTATTCATTAAAAAAAAAAGAAGAGCACATGGTACATGCATTGACAGGTGTCACTTTAAGTGTCAAATATATATAACATAACCTTAACATTTGTTGTGATTTTATTTCAGGATATTCTTATTTATCACACAAAAATGGGAAAACTAAACGTCTCTATTATGAGGTATCTCACTCCTGAAGATTTTAGAGTTTTGACAGCGATCGAAATGGGTATGAAAAATCATGAATTAGTTCCAGCTGCCATGGCAGCTTCAATTGCAAATTTGCAGCATGGAGGAGTGAATAAAATTCTTAGAGAATTATGTAAACATCGCCTCTTAAGTTATGAAAGAGGAAAAAGATATGATGGTTATAGACTTACTAATACAGGTTATGATTATTTAGCACTTCATTCACTCACAAAGAGAAATGTTGTTGCCTCGTTTGGAAATCAAATTGGTGTTGGTAAAGAAAGTAATATATACACAGTTGCTAATACCGAAGGAGAACAGTTATGTCTTAAGTTACACAGATTAGGCAGAATATGTTTCCGAAAAGTAACTGAAAAACGAGATTATCACAAACATAGAAAATCTGCATCCTGGTTATATTTGTCAAGAATTTCAGCTACCAAAGAATATGCATATTTAAAAGCCTTATATGAACGAAAATTTCCTGTGCCAAAACCTATTGATTTTAACAGACATTGTGTTATTATGGAACTTATTAATGGGACATTATTAAATCATGTGCAAGAAGTTCAAAATATTGATTCACTATATGATGAACTTATGAACCTTATTATTAGATTTGCAGATTCTGGTGTAATACATGGAGATTTTAATGAATTTAATATAATTTTAAATCCAGAAGAGAAACCTATTATAATAGATTTTCCACAAATGATTTCAACTGAACATCCAAATGCTGAATATTTCTTTAATAGAGATGTTAACTGTGTTAAAGATTTTTTTAAAAAACGCTTTGGTTATGAAAGTGAGCTATATCCACAATTTTCAGATATTGACAGGGAAGACAATTTGGATGCAGAAGTAGCATGTTCTGGATTTACTAAAGAAATGGCAAAACATATTAATAAACAATTTGGGTATGAAGACTCTAATGATAGTAGTGAGGAAGAGGTTGAAGTGAAGACAGAAAATAAAAATGTACCAGATAGAGAGGATTTCTTTGATGCATCTGAAAAATTAGAAGGGAAAGACGATGTCCAAGATTTGGTCTCAATTTCCAACAGTTCAACAATAAATTTCATATTTGATCAACTAAAACTAAAGAGTAAATTTGATGATACAGCTCAAAAAATAGGTAATTATTTTTAATGTATCATCCATTCATTAATTTGTTGCTTTGTTTTTTCATTTTAACTCTCCCATTTACTAAGGAGTTAGAATCAGCAATTCCATTGCTCTTTACTAATACTATGATAAACTCATATTGTTGTTAACATATTTTCTTATAGCTGCTTTCTTAAGTTTATAACTTTTATAGAGAGTTAATACCTTTTAAAGATTACAACTATTTTGTTTTAACTTTCTGGATACTGAAGTTACTACAAAAAAGTGAATAAACTTGTTTAATATTTTTGTAGTGCCACATATATTTAATTAGCTAAACTTAATTCTGCAGTCTAGTTAAGATCATTAAGACTTTAAGATTATTTTATTCCTAATTAATTGCTGTTGATTGGTACATTGAACAACCACCAAAAACTACCTCATCATCCCCTAGCGCAAATGTGACCTATAGGAAAATCACAATATTGATCAAAAGCATGTAAGTGTAGAAGCTGCATGTGCATTAAAAATTAGTCCCTAATATCATATCCGCAAGAAATCACAGACCACCTTGGCTATAATGTTTTTGATACATTCTGAACAAAAAGGCGCTTAATAACTTTTCTAAAAGTTGATGGTTGTCGAGTTATAATAAACATTTGAAATTTTGAAAAATGTGAAATCTGCCATTTTCAAAGCTCTGAAACTCAGTAAAAAATCATTATTTTTGAAGTTAGAAACTAGTCCTTCTTCTCCTTATTCTTTTTTTGGGCTATGTCCTAGGCTATTTACCCAGTTTACTTCGAGGGTAGATACTTTTTGTCTTGCTTCAGCAATCAGTGTCTACCTACACTTATATTCTTCCTTTGTATGTTTTGGGATATTCTACATGTATACTTGTGCTGGTATTTTTTTTATATATTCTTCACAATCTAAAATTTTAGTAAGACAATACAAAAAAGGTATAATCTTTTCTCGCTGGGGGGTAGCTTCCAAGCTTTGCACATCCCAGAAATGCTACCGTTGGATAAAGTAGAACCACCCAGGACTGAAAGAAGGAAGATCATAGTTTATTGTATTATTTGTGAGGATTGTGCAAATATTTATGGGAGTGGAAAGTTTAGTTTTAGCTAATTCAGCATACAAATCGAAATGTGGGTTTTGATTTAAGTGACATTCTAATAAAATATGGTTTAAGCCTCCCACTTGCCCACATTCGCAATAAGGATCATCTTTGACTTCAATTCTAAATAGAAGAAGAGGGGATGAGCAATGACCCATTCTCATATGGATGATGGTACTTAAATGTCTCCTACTGATATATGCAAATTTATTGAACTATGGTGGTGTGTGGATTCGTTTATTAATTTTGACATAGAATGAATTACTTATGCCTTATCCTTAGTACCACTCAGCTGCCTAGTTAGACCAAATGTCTCTTTTTAAGTAGGGTATGACCTAATATTCAGGGAACAACCTATATTGGCAAGTTGGTTAGCCTTGTAGTTTCCAGTAATAGCAATGTGTCCTGGGATCCATGCTAGTATGATTTTGATATTATTGTTCCTTGCTGGGATAATTCCTCTTTTCGTTAAATACAATATATGTTGTGTGTTTAGAAAACCCTGTTTTTTTCAGTTTTTGTAGTGCACTTTTGGAGTCAGAAAAGATAATGGCTTCTGTGATATTTTGTTCCAGTATAATTTGGACTGCATGGTTGATCGCAGTTACCTCTGCTGTACATATTTGGGTGTGATTGGGTAGTTTAGATTAAAATGAACAGTTTATATCCGGGGAAAAACTCCAAATCCCGCATTTCCCATTGTGTCCGTTGAACCATCTGTAAAGAATTTTTTGTATGAATGGAATTTTTTAACTAAGTTTACAAAATTCATAAGGTTTTTCCTTATTTTTCCAGTATTCCAGTGTGCCTTCCATTTAAGGTTCTTCTGTAAAACCATTCCTAGCTATTTAATTTTACCTACCCACTCTATATGTTGTCTCTTATAACTGATATTTCCAGGCATTATTTTGGCATTATTATTTATAAACAAGATAGCTTTAGATTTGCCCACAGAGATGTTCAAATTATGATTGTCTAGGCAGGCCTCAAGATTGGCTAAATATTTGTTTATTTTTGATATAATATTTTTAATGTTCACTCCTTTGACTAGAATTACAAAATCGTCAGCATACTGTATGACTTTAGCATTTTTTAGGAACATATCGTGTAATGAGTAGGTATATATGTTGAATAGAATAAGACTTAATGGTGATCCTTGTGTGAGTGGTATTTGGGCCATGTACTAACCCAGAGTTATCTTTGACAAACAGTTCTCTGCATTTTAAAAAGTCATATATGAGGTTAGCTAAATCATGTGGTATATCCAAATGTATTAATGTAGAGTACAGTTTGTCAATACTAACATTACCATATTCTGAATGGATATCCAAGAATATTCCTATTGTACATTCATTATTACTAAATGATTTTTGACTATTTTCCTAACTTTATCCGATATTGTCTTGATTGGTGAGTTTCTATTAAGGCCTTCTACAAATTTCCTAAAATTATTCTTCCTTTTTTCTTTAAGGAATCTTCTAGCTATTATAGCACATTTGTTTTTTACTATTAAATAATTTTGTAAGTTGGATGTTGATTGGAATTGTTTGTTGCCTGTATTCTGTCTTTAATGACTTCAGCGCAAGATTCGTCCCACCATGGGACATGATACTGTTTATTGACATTTGATTTGTATAATGGGATGGCAGCTTCATTTATTATATCTGCAAATTATCAGTAGTTCTCACGTGGAAATGATGTAAATGATGACTCTAATACTGAGGTACAGTGGAACCTCGATTAACCGTCTCTCTATTAACCGTCACCTCTGTTAACCGTCAGGGTCCCTACATAAGTTATATGGACAACATAAGTAAAAATTTAGTCATCAATTCATTTTGTTTGGACCATGCACCTGCCCATCCTAAAGCCGGTATGCTGCGGAGTAATATCATTGATACAGCCAATGGATCATTCGGTCATTAAAAAACATTCAAAAGAAGATACAGAAAAAAAAAATTATTCAAAATCTAGTTATGGAAGAGTAATATTCTTTGCCAAAATACTGGAAAGCTTAAAATTTAAAACAGGCAGTCGACATTGCTGTGGATGCTTGGGCTGATGTTTTGGAAGTAACGTTGAAAAGATGAAAATGTTCCCCTTAAATGAAGTGGCTGAATCAACTGTTTTGTTTTCGTTGCCTAAAGATGACTTAAACGAATTGTTAATTCGTGATAAGGACGCCAACGGCTATCGATTGCTGACAGATGATGAAATCGTTGAAATGGCGACAGGGGCGAACGAAACTGTTTCAGAAGCTGACAGAGACTCTGATGGTGGCGATGTTGATGATGCTATTACAACTCACGTAGATTTGCGTAAAGAAGCTAGAGGAGCTGCATCTCTCATACAATAATTCATCAAGTGGTATTCTCGGCAAGAAGAAGCAATCAAGCTAAATTTGATAATTCTTCGTCGATTAAGAAACTCAGCCGTTGCAAAATGTGAAGTAACAATAAAACAAACAAATATTTCGGAATAATTTTAATCAAATTGATTCGACTGTACTAACATAAATCCCTCTTACCTATATTGTCAAATAAAACATACAAATAAAATTTGAGAGTTATACTATGATTTTTTTTAATGTTCTGTTAACCGTCTTTTCGATTATCCGTCATACCCTTGGTCCGGTGCCCTGACGGATAATCGAGGTTCTACTGTATATTGATCCCAATTAGCTTTTTTGGAGTTTCTGTTATTCCTTGGTGGCATATGGATAATAAATTTGGACACCAATTTTGCACATTGTGAGTAGATGATCACTAAATCCTAAGTCAGGAATTATTTGCCATGATGATCTGGTAGCAATATCCTTAGATGTTATTGTTAGATCCACTTCTGATGATCTTTTTGGTGGTGGTGCTATTCTGGTATATGGAAGATTGGAAGATGTTTCTCCCATTGAAATTATTACAGGGGCTACCCCAAGCCTCATGGTCGGCGTTCAGGTCTCCCATTATTATTACTGGTTTGTTGATTTCCTGGATCAGTTTTATCAATTTTTGTTTAGATATGGTATTTGCTTTAGGGACATAGGCATTAAGTAGATTAATTTGGAATTTAGGTAGGAAGATTGGTTGGAATTGAGAGTTGTTATTAAATTTATAACATAAAGATATTTCATAAAATTCTACTTCATTTCTAATAAGGATCACTATACCACCATATGAATCATCTCTATCATTTCTAATTATTTGATGGCCCTTGCATATGATTATTTGGTTCTTATTTAACCATATTTCATTTAGCAATAATATGCCAAGATTGTATTCTTTGATAACTATTTTTAAGTTATCCACATTAGCATTATATGATTTCATATTCCATTGTATTATAGTCAAAGGAGTGAAAGCTTTATTTTTTTTTTAAATTTGGGCTTAGTATTTTGAAGCATTAGCGTCGTCGACACAAGAAAACCGGTTAACTCCAATTTTTACTTAAAATGAGATTTCACAGCCAACTTTTAGCAAATCGCCTATTCTAGCCATCCAACTAATAATATGTCATTTAAACGTAGATTTCTAATTTTAAAATGTATACTAGAAAAGCAGGGATCTCCCTTGTCAAAAAATTATGTTTGTAAAACACGTAACTCCGCGCATTTTCTGTTAAGTCTATTAAGTGACTTCTTCTTCTTTAAGTTCCATCTTCTATCGAAGGTTGGAAATCATCATGGCTATGCGGACTCTGTTGACTGCCGCTCTAAAAAGTTCTGCACTACTGCATTCAAACCATTCCCTCAAGTTCTTAAGCCAGGATATTCTTCGTCTTCCCACATTTCGCTTTCCTCGGATTTTGCCCTGCATAATAAGTTGTAATAATGCGTATTTTTGCCCTCTCATCACATGTCCCAAGTACTCAAGTTTTCGTCTTTTAATGGTTAATATTATTTCCGCCTCATTTCCTATCCTTCTAGTTACTTCCATGTTTGACATTCTGTGAATCCATGACATTCGTAGGATTCTTCTGTAACACCAAAATTCAAAGGCGGCCAACTTATTCAGATGAACTTGTTTTAGTGTCCAAGCTTCCAGACCATAAAGAAGAGTAGAGAACACGTAACATCGAAGCATTCTCAGGCGTAGTTCTAACCTTATATCCCGACAACAAAGAAACTTTTTAAGTTTAATAAATGATGTACGTGCTATTTCAATACGTGTCTTAATTTCTTTGGTTTGGTCTACATCTGATGTTATCCATGTTCCTAAGTATTTATAGTTATTAACACTCTCAATTGCAGTATCTTCAATAGTCAATTGGATATTTGCATGTGCAGATTTAGTCATGATCATGCATTTAGTTTTCTTTAAATTTATTTTCAGTCCGTACTCATGACAGCGTTCATTAAGGCGTTGCATTACGTTCTGTTAAGTGACTAGGGCCGTTGATTTGATTTGTTGTTTTGGAGGGATTTGTTGTTTCGGAACATGCTTTTAATAAGTTATAGACATGGACAGAAAAGAGAATGTACAGGGTGAGTGGGGAGGAACGCACCAAACTTTAAGACTGTATAATATACGTAAAAATAAGTAAAAATAACTCATATGTTGTTATTCGATTTTCATTTAATTTCGAGTTATAGCGATAATAACACAAAGTTGTAATTTTACTGCTAATTGTCACATTGCTGTAACAGGTATCTGTGATTCATTTAATAATTAGTTAACTGTCATAATAGTATAGTGTCAACGTGATTTAATGTCTATTTGACAGTTTGTATAAAAAAAGTTGTTGCAAAATGGCACATACTTATTCAAATAGTGATTATGCAAATATGGTGTTTGTTTATGGCTTTTGTAATGAAAACGGTAGAGCTGCTGTTGAAGAATATCGTCAACGGTTTCCAAATCGGAGAACTCCAGATAAAAATGTATTTATTAGAGTTTTCAACAAACTATGCGAGACCAGAACGCTTCCTAGTTATAAAATAATATCGGAACGTGCTCCCCGACAAAGTTTACAAGAAATACAAAATATTCTGGATTCAGTAGAAGATGATCCAGGGATCAGCTCACGAAGAATCGGTACTCATTTAGCCATTCCTCAAACGAGAGTAATTAACACACTTCACGAGCAAGGTTTATATCCATACCACCTACAACGTGTACAGCACCTACAACCAGAAGATTATGCCAGCCGTATGCAATTTTGTCGTTGGATAAATAATAATCGTCGTGTTATATCCCGCATACTTTTTACCGATGAAGCAACATTCACCAGAGACGGTATTAATAATAGCCGCAACTCACATGTATGGTCAGATAAAAATCCACATGCAACAATTGAAGCTAGTTTTCATCACAAATTTTTGGTAAACGTGTGGTGTGGTGTGATCGACGGTTATTTAATTGGCCCTTTCATACTTAAGAACCGCCTTACAGGAGAGGAGTACTTGAATTTTTTACAGAATGAATTGCCAGGACTCCTACAGAACATTCCACTAAATATCAGAATGCAAATGTATTATCAGCACGATGGTGCTCCTGCACATTTTGCTCGTCAGGTCAGGCAACATTTAAATACAAAATTTCCAAGGCGTTGGATTGGTCGCAATGGTCCTATTAGTTGGCCTCCGAGGTCTCCAGACCTAACACCATTAGACTATTTTTTATGGGGCTGGTTTAAAAATAAAGTTTACAAGGTAAAAGTCGACACTCGCGATGCACTAATTCGACGCATTAAAAATGTTGCAGCCACAATTAGAGCAAACCATGACGCAATCAGAAGAGCAACGTTGAATGTTCATAGACGAAGCAGAAAATGCTTACAGGTCAATGGTGGTATTTTTGAACATTTATTATAAGAACATTTAACATTAAATTAATGTTAAGTTACAACTTTGTGTTATTATCGCTATAACTCGAAAACAAATGAAAATCGAATAACAACATATGAGTTATTTTTACTTATTTTTACGTATATTATACAGTCTTAAAGTTTGGTGCGTTCCTCCCCACTCACCCTGTATATCAAAACGTTGGTAGTATTTGAAGCACCAAAACGGAAGAGGGATAGAAAAAATGAAGCTGTATCACGGAGGTCTAAGACATTAAAATAGTATTTGAAAATTGGAGAAGATAAACGAATGGTATGCAAAAAAATGTTTTTGTCAACTCTGGGCCTTAAAGATTGGTTTGTTATGAATTGCAAACAAGAAGATGATTCTGCTATTACAGAAAATTTGGATAATGAACCACAACAAGCGCCTAAAGGACTTCACAAGAAGGAGTTGGACAATCATTATAGTTTTTTAGATAGCCTGCCGAAAATGGAATCGCATTATTGCAGGAAATCAACTAGTAAATTATATCTAGAACTATTATGGCAAAGCAAATGTCAACTTTACCATATTTACAAAAAGGAATGGTACCTAGAAAAACGAATCAACAGTCTCTCTTTATCTTCTTTTAAAAACGCTTTCCTGGAAAAGAGGTTGGCTTTGTATAGACCAAAAAAAAATTTTTTGTGTGAAATATGTGTCTTTTTTAAAACAGGAAATCTTGATCAAGAAATATTTAGTGAACATTAGTTGAAAAAACAAGAAGAGAGACTTAAGAAAATTAAAGATAAAAACAGTGAAAGCATTGTATTGGCAATAGATTTACAGGCAGTCCTTATATGTCCTAAGTCCAATGTTTCTTCCCTAAGTTGACATAAATGATAAAAAAGTTGACAATCCACAATTTCACATTCTATAACTTACACACAAAACAAGGGCATTGTTTTCTTTGGGATAAGTCGGAGGGGAATCTTACCGTATCGAAATTGCTAGTGTGATCGTATGTATTTTAGAAAAATATACTGAAGGGAGTTGTCTTGAGGAAAACGTACGTGAAATAATTATAGCGATGGGTGTACTTACCAAAATCGTAATGTTACTCTAGCTAGCTTTTAAACTTTTGTTTAAAGCAGAAGGTAACAGTTATACAAAAATACCTTGAGAAAGGGCACACCCAGATGGAGGCCGACATGATGCACAGTACAATTGAGAGACAATTAGGAGGATGCGATATTAATGTGCCTGGTGATTACATACAAATATGCAAAAGAGCACGGAAGGAAAATCTATTTGTAGTAACTCACTATACCATGATTTTCTTAAGGACTTCAGAGCAGTAAACTATGTAAGCAGTATCCGACCGGGTAAAAAAGGGTGATGCAGTTGTGACAAATATTAGAGCTACAAAATATTCACCACAAGGTATTCATTACAAGTTGGGATTTGGTGAAAATTGGATTGAACTGCGTTGTCGAATAAATCAGAATGTGATACCCAAGAATTTCGCAGATCTGCTGAAGCTTTATACAAATAGAATACCATTAAAAAAAAGAGAGATTCGAACATTTTCAGTT